TGGAATAGCGAGTGATAACAACGTCTAGGTACTCCTTCGCCGTCTCTAAGGCCTAAAAGTGGGGACACTCGGACAGTGGGAGGGTGTGACTAATAGCTAGTTGCGCAGTAGTGTTACGCGACTCCCAGACACAGCAAGCGAGCACAACAGCTGTGAAAACCTCACGCTCAGCTAGCGTGGCAGTGTCAGCGAGGGCAGTAGGCGCGGGTGGGCAAGGCAGCTTACCGTCGACATGGACAGCCAGAGACTGGGCATCCTGGCGCTTACCCTTCAGCTGGTGGCGCAGGTCGGGGAGCCATGCCTCAAAATCCACCGCACAACCCTCTGCATCCAGGCGGCAGCTGCAGCAGCTGGAGGAGGAGTAGGGAGCAAGCAGGTGGAGTGGTGTGCATTGGAGAGCGGTGGAGAGCGGTGGAATGCGATGGGGTATGGAATGCAGGAGGAGGAGGAGTAGGGAGCAGGCAGGTGGAGTGGTGTGCATTGGAGAGCGGTGGAGAGCGGTGGAATGCGATGGGGTATGGTGGAGTACGGTGGGGAGTGGTGATAACGCGGGAGCGCAGACGGCCGGCGAGAGCGCCGACGCAAAGAAGAAACCAGGGCCGGCGGCGAGCTGGGTTCGGTAACGAGCAGGGGCCGGTGCAGCTAGCAGGGGTCGGCGCGGCTAGCATGGGCCGGCGCGGCTAGAAGGGGCCGGTGCAAGCTGGGGCTGGCAGCGGCGAGTAGGTGCCGGTGTGGCGAGCAGGGGCTGGCGCGGCGAGTAGAGGCCCACGCGACGAGTAGGGGCCGGCGACAAGCTGGGGCTGGCTCGGTGAGGTGGGGCCGGCACGGCGAGCTGGGGCCGGTGCGGCGAGCTGGGGCCGACACGGCGAGTTGGGGCGGCGCGGCGAGCTAGGGCCGACGCGGCGAGCTGGGGCCGGCGCGACGAGCTGGGGCCGGCGCGACGAGCTGGGGCCGACGCGGCGAGTTGGGGCTGACACATCAAGAAGGGGCCTGTGGGGAGCTGGAGGCCGACACAAAGAGCCGAGGCCAATGTGGCGAGCAGAGGCCAGCATGGCGAGGAGGGGCCGGCGGCGAGCTAGGGCCGGCGCATCGAGCAAAGGGCCAGTGCAGCGAGTGCGCGGCGCGGCTGGCTGGGGCAGGCGCGGTGAGACAGGGCCAGCGCAGTGAGCTAGGGCCAGTGCAGCGGGCAAGGGTGCTCTAAGGGGCAGGGCGCTCTAAGGTAGGCTAGGGTGGAAGCGCGGTGGGTGGGACCTACCTAGCGTGATACCATGTCAAAGTAGCGAAGTGAACTCTAGCAGGGCGTACCGGGTGATATAAGGGTTTGGTGTTGTACTTTCTAAGAGCACAAACCCACCTAGCCTATAACTATACATTCAAAGCATATGTATAAGTTAACATTATGCACCATTGCACCAATAACCTGGGTGGTGGTTGGTGATGAAAGAAAGGAACCAGGTAGAAGGCAATCTAACGACAGAGAAATGGACGAATGGATCTTTGAGTGCGTGACATTTTTGCTTGGTAAATGTAGCAGAGAGAAAGCTCAACTACCCTTTTTGATCTACTTGACTGCCCCATTCACCACCCACCCCATATCCCACCTCTCTCCGACCCAATACCCAATGCAACCTCCTAGATATTGCGTTCATTCTCTCTTCGTGCTCTTGCTCTTGGCTGCCCCATTCACACCATTACCTCTATCACTACCATTACCAACACCACCAATACCACCGTACCAGCACTGGCATTTCTAATAGTGTCAACATATATTTGTATATGTTATAGGCTAGATAGGTGCATGCTCATAGAGGGTACAGCACCATAGCACAAAACCTCCATGTATGGCACAATCCAGTTCGTTGCGTTATTCTAAGTCATAGCCCCTGTGATCTCCCCTCCCCCCAGCAGCGGCACAGTATGGCAAAGGGAACGATGCTCCAGATGGCGTTCATTCCAATGAAGTAGCCTCAGAAGTGGAATCAGGGTGGCACATCACTGGAGAGAAATGAGATATCCATGTACCAGACTCACTCCCTCTTTGCCCTCCTGCTGTTTATTGCCTCATTCACCGCACCACCACTACCAGCACAGGTTGTTCTAACTATCAGAACTCAATCACTAACCACCAAGTTAAAAGGGCTTTTCAAGTAGCGGGTAAGTGCGCCCATAGCCCCCCAGGCTCTGCACCTGTAACCCTTCCCCGAGGAGCAAGGGCAACCCCAGCGTGTATCTTGACACCCCCCTGTCCAAGTAACTAGGTAGCTAGGGAAGCCATGGAATGGCGAGAGGTTTAGGAAGGAGAGAAAATGTCGAGGGAGAAGAGGAGGTGGAATAGAAGAGAGAGGGATACAAGAAGGGGGGTTGTACCCTCTAAAGTAGAATCCAATAACACCTACCAAGCCTACCATTATATATATATATATCAAATATATATTTTAATACACCCCCTAGGCTTGGTAGTCACAAGCCCACCCCACATGCAACACCTCTAAGCCTAGCACCCCCATACCCTGCAGCAGAGGTGACTGCAGGGAAGGAAGGCGCTAAGCATCCTTGAGCTGCGGCGGGGTGGGGCCAGCTGGCGTGGCGAGCTGGGACCGACGCGGCAAGCTGGGTCCGATAAGCAAACCTGGATCCGACACGACGAGCTTGGGAGCCGCGGCGAGCTGGAGTGCGAGCTTGCTGCCTGGTGCCTAAACCAGTGCGCGGTCCACTGCAGCCCGTGCACTGACGCGACAACGGCGGCACGGCGGCACGACAAAGCCGCCACATCGAGGCTACCACGGCAGCACGACAAAGCCGCCATGGCAGCACGACACGGCCGCCACGGCGACGAGGAAGTAAAGAGAGGGGGGGGGGGAGTACGCGGTGGAAGCATGAGGAGGCGGCCCAGCCCAGCAGGGCGGACCTCCTGCTCTGAAACCATGTCAAAGTAACTAGGTAGCTAGGGAAGCCATGGAATGGCGAGAGGTTTAGGAAGGAGAGAGAATGTCGAGAGAGAAGAGGAGGTGGAATAGAAGAGAGAGGAATACAAGAAGGGGGGTTGTACCCTCTACAGTAGAATCCAATAACACGTACCAAGCCTACCATACCATTATATATGTATCAAATATATAATTTAACACCCCCCTCGCTGGGATAGGCCGAAGACACAAGCGCCTCTGCAGCACTCGCACTTCCAGCAGGGCCCACTGGGAATTGAACCCGAGGCACCCGGCTCTAATACCATGTCAAAACTCAGTCACTAACCATTGAGTTAGAATGGCTTGTTAAGTAGCGTGTGAGTGCGCCCATAACCCCCCAGGCTCTGCACCTGTGACCAGGGCTTCAGAAGTCAGGACAAAATGCCATGAAATGCTGTGTATCAGGGTGTTTTTTTAGGGTCGTCCTGTTTTTTCAGCTTTTGATTTTTCCTAGGCCTGAATTTTAGGGGTTGTCATTTGAGCAGGCCTGAAATATTGTATGTTCTTGTTTTGGTCACCCTGAATTATCAGCCTTAACGGATTTCCAGCCTGAAACTGAATTCTATCTGACTGGTCGAGGCGAGCTGGAGCAGCTGTGAGAGGCGTGTCTTGTCCTTGGCCAAAATGACGCAAGTGACGCAAGCTGGAGCACATGTGAGGGGCGTGATTGGTCCTTCGCCAAAATCACGCAGGCAGTTTGACATGAGCTGGAGTAGGTGTGAGGGGCGTGACTGGACCTTGGGCAAAATTACGCAGGTAACGCGCGTTGGAGCAGTTGTGAGGGGCGTGATTGGTCCTTCGCCAAAATCACGCAGGCAGTCTGACGCGACTTGGAGCAGGTGTGAGGGGCGTGATGTTGAAATCTGAACTAGGAAGAAAAGAGGAGGCCGCCATGAAATGGCGGCCAAGGGTTTAGCTAGGAGAGTAGGCGAGAGTGTCGAGAGAAAAGTGAGATAGATTAGGAAGAGAGAGAGTACAAGGAGGGGTTAGTACCCTCTACAGTAAGGTTCGGTAACCTACCAAGCCTAACAATTATATAAAATATAATTTGAACACACCCCCTAGGCTTGGTAGTGGCCAGCCCACACAACCCACACACACACCCCCTAACCCCGGACACCCTCATTCTCGTGAGCAGCCGGGTATCGACCCCTCGTGCTAGGCTATGACACCCCCGGTCGAGAGGCAGCTGGCCGCATCTGGGCGGCCTCAATGACGACAGCGGCGGAGCTCGTGCTCAAGGCGGCTGTGTCGATGAGGACAGGCGGCGACTGCGGCGGCTGAGGGCTCTCGGCGGTGTGGCACGGGCTGGCGACGACTGAGCCGAAGACAGCAGCTACGGCAGGAGCAGGAGGAGATGCAGGGGAGGGAGAGGTGGTGGGGCTGCTGTGGTGGGGCTGCAGGACTTCAGCGCGGCGCCATAGGCGCGGCGCTTACTGGCGGGAGGAGGAGGCGGGACGGGGCCCAGGAGGGGCGCGACTGGGCTAGGAGGCACGGCAGGGCCCAGGAGGGGCGCGACTGGGCTAGGAGGCACGGCAGGGCCCAGGAGGGGCGAGACGGGGAGGTAGAACGGCGGAGCCGCCACGTCAGGGCGGCAAGCCCAGCACGGCTGCTCGACGTGGCAGCCATGCGACATGGCCGCCACGGGGGCACGGCAGGAGCGACGAACGCTCGAGAACGCAGCGGAAAGCACGGAGGGGAGCAGGCCCAGGAAGGGCATCCCGCTCTCGATACCATGTTGAAATCTGAACTAGGAAGAAAAGAGGAGGCCGCCATGAAATGGCGGCCAAGGGTTTAGCTAGGAGAGTAGGCGAGAGTGTCGAGAGAAAAGTGAGATAGATTAGGAAGAGAGAGAGTACAAGGAGGGGTTAGTACCCTCTACAGTAAGGTTCGGTAACCTACCAAGCCTAACAATTATATAAAATATAATTTGAACACGTGACTGGTCGTTGGCTAAAATCACGCTAGTAGTGTGAGAATTTGTACGCAGTGAAGTCCGATCTGATCTAAGGGTCATAAACCTAAAGAATGTACCAGATGAGTCAGGCTTTTTTTTTTTTGGTCTGACAAAACATGCCATGTCTAACATAATGTGCTAGGTTAAAATCCTACCCGCCCTAAAAATTCTTCAAGGTTCAACCTATCATCTCAGCTCTGAAAATTTTCAGTCCTGATTTTTCAGCCTTGGAAAAATTTTACCCTGAAAATAATTGCAACTTCCAAAACCCGACCCTGAAATACGGGGGCTCCTTCTGGGGGCACCCTGAGCCAACAGCCCCTCAAAATCCAATCTGAAGCCCTGCCTGTGACCCTTCCCCGAGGAGCAAGGGCAACCCCAGTGTGTATCTTGACACTAACAGCCCCTGTGATCTCCCCCAAGCAGCGGCAGAGGATGGCAAGGGGCATGACGATTCCAGATGGCCTTCACTCCCTCTTTGCCCTCCTGCTCTTGACTGCCCCATTCATCGCACCACCACTAGCAGCACTGGCCGTCCGAACAGCCCTTGTGATCTCCCCCCAGCAGCGGCAGAGGATGGCAAGGGGCACGACGATCCAGATGGCGTTCATTCCGATAAAGTAGCCCCAGTAATAGAGCGGATCCGGGTGGCAGTGCTTGGAACCTTCCAGGAAGCTCGTCGCAAAGTAGATGACGTCACCATACAGCTGGCCGAGGGAGACGGCAAACTGCAATATCGAAGAATAGGACCTTCTGGTTGCCATGGCGTATCTGTGAAAAAACACACACACACACAAAATACGGAAAAAAACAGAAATGAGGAGGGGAGAAGGTGTGCGGAGAAGCAAATGACGTCGTTGCACAGCTGGTCAGGGGAGACGGCAAACTGAAGAATGGGAAGGGCTTTCTGGTTGCAATGGCGTATCAGGTATCTGGAGGAATGGGTGAAGGGATAAGAAAGAACAGAAGGTGTGAGGAGAAGCAGACGGCGCTGCCATACAGCTGGCCGAGGGTTTGGCGAACTGAAGGATTGAAGAGAAAGGCCTTCTTGATGGCATGGTGCATCTGCGAGAAAAATCGCAAAAAGGTGAAAAAAAAAAAAGAGAGGGGAGGGGAGAAGGTGTGAAGAGCAGCCGATGACATCACCATATGACAAGACGAGAGAGGCAGAGAACTGCAAAATCGGAGAGAAGGGCTTTGTAGCAGCCATGGGGTACCTGTGAGGGTTGGGGGGGAGTGAGGGGGGGGAGGAGTGGGAGAGGGAGAGGGGAGGTGGGAAGATGGGGAGGGGTCGAGGAGAAGCAGGGGGAGGGAGGGGCGGAAGCTGCAAGGCAATGCCAGTGTCCCGCTTATTTCTCGTCCCCTCCCCCTCTTCCCTCCTCCCCACTCTGCTCCCCCTCAGCTCAGCTAACATCGCTATTTGAGCGGGGGGGGGGGGGGGGAAGGGCTGGCTGAGTGCGTCTGACTGACAAGTAGATGGGGTGACTTTTGAGTCGACTCAAAAGTCACCTAGTAGATGGCATCGCCATGCCTGCAGCGGACCGAGAGAGACAGCCAACTGAAGGACCTGGGTCAAGGGGGTTGATGATGATTGTGCAGGGGGTTTTCGAGGATTCTCAGAAGCACCTCACACCAAGAAAGCAAACTGAAGGACCCGGGACAAGGGGATTGACGATGCGTTTGGTTGTTTCAATGGCTTTTATCGTCTCACTGGCTCATGTGGCTGAAAGCGTGTGACTGGCTCACGCGATTGAAGCTTAAAAGCAGAGGCCTTACAGTACGAGGAAGCAAACTCACTGTATGAGGAAGCAAACTTACAGTATGAGGAAGCAGGCCGGCCCTTCGATGAACGCAGTGACCGCCTCGACAGCCAGCACACAGCCATCGCGAGTGGCGTAGCGAGAGTCGGCTTTGCTGTACTCCTTCCCTGTGAGATGGGTATGGATGGGAGAGAGGCAAGGAAGATTGAGCGAGAGAGGTAAGGGATAAACGCTATGGACGGCACACAGCCATTGCAAGTGGCTTAGAGCGACCTCAGCCTTGCTGCACCCCTTCCCTGGCTGGGGGATGGGTCGAGAATGGGGGCAAGGGAGGGAAAGGTGCACAGTGCACAACACACACCGCGAATCAGCATCGACTGGACTCTATCGAACGTACACGGACCATAAGCAGCCTTGGTGCGCGCGCATGAGGCCTTAAGAAAAACGTCATAAACGATCCCTCCAGCACCACCTTTCACCCGGGAGGAGCAGCACCAGCTATCCCCAACAGGTGCATACGTCGAACGGCAACCCATACATGCGTATGCGCCAAGGAGAAACGCGTTACTAGTGCATACATACGGCTCATGAGGTCCCTGAGCTCATGACACCTTTGAACGCCACGAACGGCCCTCCAGCAGCAGGTGAATCGCCACTGTGACTTCCAATCAACCCACGAGCCCCTTTTGAACCCACACAGCCACCTTCAACCCAGCACCCACGTACATGTGCCCAACAGTCAACCCAACACCCACATACATTAGTCCAATAGAAATGCGTGACTGGTGCTGCTCATGAGGTCCCTGAACGCCCCCCCTCCAGCACCAAGTGAACCGCCGCCCCTCACCTGATAACCCACATGCGTGCAGCTGTTTTTGAGGCGCCTAAAAAACAACCCACATGCGTGCAGCTGTTTTTGAGGCGCCTAAAAAATAACCCACATGCGTGCAGCTGTCCCCCGGTCAAAGAGTAGCACGTACATGCGTCCAGCAGAAACGCGTGGCTGGTGCTGGTGCTGCTGCTGGTGCTGGCGCTGCTCATGACGTCCCTGAACGCCACGAACGCCCCCTCGAGCACCAAGTGGATCGCCCCTATGACCAGTGGAGACCACCTTAGCATTACCTTAAATCGGCAAGCGTCTTTCATCCCAGCACGTACATGCGTCAAGGAGGAACGCGTGGCTGGTGCTGCTCATGAGGTCCTCGAACGCCACGAACGAACCCTCCAGCACCAAGTGAATCGCCCCTGTTACCGCCCACCAGCTGAAGATGGCCCTCTCAAGCGTTGACATGTGGCGGCAGGAGCCTGACGGTGTGGGGTGGGGGGAACAAGCAGAAAGGAAAGGGAAAGAGTAGGTGGGAGAAACAGCTTCCGCACCATCATGTTAGTGGTTTTAAGGTTTTTATTATGGTCGTAACCGAAACCATCAGGTGAGTGAATCGTCCCCGTCACGGCCCACCAGCTGAAGATGGCCCTATCGAGAGCCGACATGTGGCGACAGGAGCCTAAGATGAAACTTAGCAGGGTAAGACGACCCCCCCACCTTCCCCCCCCCCCCCCCCCCCAGCACAGCAGCCCTCCTCAAGACTCGGATCACAACGGGAGAGGTGGAAAGAGAATGACGATCCCTCCGAACGTTCCGACGAGTCTAGTGACGCTACGGTGGTGCTGGTGCTGCCGCTGGTGCTGCTGCGGTCGGAGTCTTATTGCTGCTAGTCTCAGAAGCCACTTCTCATAAACAATGAAATGGCTTCTGAGACGGCGATCACTGGACGAGCTGATTTATTCTGTCGCTTATCAGGCCCATACGGCTTACGAGGGAAGATCCACGAGACGGCGATCACGAGAACTGGCTCCTAAGACTCGGACGAGCGGCCGCAGGGAGAATAGTTTAGGATTTTCGAGTCGACTCAGAAATCACCTAAGACTCCGACGAGCGGCCGCAGCCTGCGGATAGTTTGGGATTTCAAAGTAAAAGCACGTGCCGATCGTGTGTCGAACCCGCAGACCTTAGGCGTCAGCGCTGCTGCTGCACGTCACGACTCACGAGACAACAGAGGGCTTATGCGTGAAGATCCATGACGCGGCGATCACTCGGGGAGCTGAATAAGTTGGTTTCTAATATTAGAAAACAGAGGACAACAGAGGACTCACGCGTGAAGATCCACGAGACGGCGATCACGAGAACCACGGCCGCTCCGAAGACTCCGAAGAGCGCTTCGACGGACCACCCCGAGGGAGCATAGTTGGGAATGACGATGTCGCGCGGATAGTACGGATGCTCGACTATGGCTGACGACGCCATGGCTCAGAGCAGCCTGGCGCGACGCGATAGCCTGGAGCGATAGGGAAGTACGACAGCCTGGCGTGACGAGGGAATGTGACAGCTGGATCGATGGAGGTGGATCGATGGCGGTGGATCGATGGAGGTGGATCTATGGAGGAGTCCTAAAAGGTGGGGGATCAGTGACTCGCGTTCGGGATTCAGACGAGATTGGCCGCAGAAGCTGGGGTTTCAACGAGGCGACCCTAACGAGTCGGATCTGAAAGCAATGGCTTCTTGTCGATCGCAAGAAACGATATCTAGTGAAGTTCTCTCTGGTCGACGCTCTATGATCATTTTGTTTCTAAGGCGCCTAAAAAATACTGGTCGACAGACTGTGATCAGTGCTGCGGACGGATTCTGCCCGCAACTTTCTAATGATAGCATTTTTGGCGGGAAAATATAATCCGAGGTAGAAAACGGGGGAGGCTTGATTTGAGAAAGTTTCGTGCAATCCCAACGTGCCAACTGGGTGCCGTAGCGTGTGGCTGGCACCATCCCCGCTCGCCAGATATCGTCACGTCAGCGGCAGTCAGCTAGTTAAAAGGGTAATTTGCTGCCAGATTTCCCTGGGAATGCAGAATTTTCAGGGTATTTAGTTACGCGAATCCTGAGACCGCTGGGTCCTGGAAAACGAAAAATTCGCCCTGTTCGCGACTCTGAAATGGCGTGCAATCCCCAACTGCCAGCCGTAGTGTGTGGCTGACAGTGAGCCACCACTCACGAGCTGTCATCAACAGCCGTCAATCGGGAAGGGCTGGTTACTACCAGCACTATCTGTTTCGCAGGCTGAAAAGATTTCGGGAATCCCGTAGTGGTAACCCTGCCTCACTCTCAACCTTCGTCAACGGCAGCTCGAAGTAGTCTGGAATGGTTACCACCTAAACTCGACTGCATCGTTATTCCTCGCCGTCATCCCCGCAGTTGCAGCACAAGCCACGAGTCAACGCAAATTCAGTCTTAGGTTGTTCGATATACTGATAGTCTTACACACCAGTATCTTTGTCGTCTTACAACGAGTTTTTTTTCCTGCTGGCTCCAGAGCCTAGAGTGGTTATTCCCCAGTCGAACGCTTTCTTTCTCGTTTCGTTCGACAGAGACAGATCGTTCGATGCATCGTGCTATTGTGTGGGGAAAGCGCCCCTGACCTCGTCATCGCGTCACGTGGTTGGGGAACTGCACAGCGAGTCCTTCTATCTCGTCGTGTGACGTTTGAGTTGCCGCTCGAAGGCTTCGAATCTCACTGAAGGCTTCGCGCTGAATGGAATGAATTCACCTCGAATCTAGGGTGCAGGGCTCCCTTCTATGGCTGGCGTGGGGACCTTGCGTCACGTGAACGACTTTTGAGGCCCCTAGACTACGTTCAAGCTCCAGTCGCGAAGCGAGCCTCTCGAGTATCGAAGCGAGCCTCTCGAGTAGCGAGCTTCTTCCAAGGGCTGGCTATGAACCGTCGACTTTAACAATCTGGGTGGTCGCCCAGAGCCAGGATAACGACTGTTAAGATCCCTTGAACGCGTCAGATACTCAGTGGGCCGTCGAGAGTTTGCGGGGATGGCCGGCGTGGAGCCGTCGATTCGAGCGATCTGGGTGGTGGCTGAGCATCACGTGACCGGAGGGTCGTCTGCTGCTCCCGTGGACCCCACCTGCAGCATCCTCTTCTCGCGGTGAGTCCGTTAAAAGCCACTCTGGCACTGGCGGTGAGTAGATTCTGTGGATGATCATCGCAAGGATCATCGTAACGATCATCGTAACGATCATCGTAACGATCATCGTAACGATCATCATAACGATCATCATAACGATCATCATAACGATCATCATAACGATCATCATAACGATCATCATAACGATCATCATAACGATCATCATAACGATCATCATAACGATCATCATAACGATCATCGTAACGATCATCGTAACGATCATCGTAACGATCATCATAACGATCATCATACCGATCATCATAACGATCATCATAACGATCATCGTAACGATCATCGTAACGATCATCATAACGATCATCATAACGATCATCATAACGATCATCGTAACGATCATCGTAACGATCATCATCACATGAACGGAGGGTTGTCTGCTCTGCTGTTCCCTTGGATCCCTCCTGCAGCATCCTCTTCTAGCAATGAGCTCGTTTATCTCCACTCTTACACACCTACAGAGGACAATCTGCTTACCCGTCCATCTACTTACCTGTCCATCTGCTTACCCGTCCATCTGCTTACCCGTCCATCTGCTTACCCGTCCATCTGCTTACCCGTCCATCTGCTTATCCGTCCATCTGCTTACCTGTCCATCTGCACGTGTCCGTCGGTTTACGTGTCCATCTGCCTACGTGTCATTTGTTCATGTGTCAATCCGCAGCCGATTCCCCACTGTGGACCGGCAGTGGCGTCTGCTCTGTGCCACGTCACCTGCTTCCGCTGTACCCGCTACAGTAAGTGCTGCAGTAAACTCTACAGGAATTGCTACAGTAAGAGGCACCTCGAAACAATCACTCACGTCTGTTTTGTTCAGTCCACGCTGTCACATGCATGCCCCCTCCTGCTTCCACTGTACACTCTACAGTTAGTGCTGGACCACTGGCTGGCGTCCACTCTTTGTGCCAGTGGTCGCGGTTAGTTACGCCACCTCTCTCACATCCTGCCTTTTGCTAGCGGCTAGACGGTAAGACCCCATGCACTTCCCTTCCACTGTACCTGACTGTTGTGCATCCTACTTAACCGCACACCACCCACATTCACCTGCTCCTCCTCCTGCGTCCACTGAACTTGTTAGAGCAAGCCATCGCCATACTGGTAGTACTCCCTACGCACTCACCAACTGAGGTGCACGCTTCCCGCATTCAACTGCCCCTTTGACTTCTTCACATAATAAATTCCAACTTCACCCCTTCCCTCGTACCCTCAGGGTTCGCCTGCGCCTCAAAAAGGGAATCTCAGGGCTCAAGCAGGGTCAGCCCTGCGTTTGAGCCGACTCAAATGCCGCTCTTGTGACTCAAAAGAAGTTCACTCGTGCTTTTAAGCCGAAACAAAGGCCTCTTTGAGACTTTAGAGCAGTTCACCCCTCCCCTCGTATCCGCCCACAGGGTTCAGCTGCGGTTCAAGGTGGGACAAGCAAGCCCGGGAAAGGACCTCCCCCAGTGAAGTACCGGCCAGTTCCGCTGGATGACGAGATCTCCATCGCCTTTGCTCAGCACATGCAGCGGTGAGTGCAGCGGTGGAGATGAAGGGGAATGCACTGGCACTGGGGCTAGCCACACCTTCCCTTCTCTTTTCTTCCCATTTTTCCGTCTCCCCTCTCGCCGACTTTCTCCTCCCCAGCCGTTCGCAGCTCCATTCCTTTCGCCCCATGCGGCATCGGCGCGGGCCAGTGGCTGGACGACCAGAACATGCGTACACGCGCATCAGCTACCAGAACCGGACTAATCAGCTACTCCATTTAATCTTCATTGTGGCTGGACGACCAGAACACTCGCCTGTCTGCTCTATCTCCCATTCGCCCCTTCTTTCCGTTCCCCTCCTCCTCCTCCTCCTCCTCCTCCTCCTCCTCCTCCTCCTCCTCCTCCTCCTCCTCCTCCTCCTCCTCCTCCTCCTCCTCCTCCTCCTCCTCCTCCTCCTCCTCCTCCTCCTCCTCCTCCTCCTCCTCCTCCTCCTCCTCTTTCCAATCCCCCAGTCGCAACTCTCTTTTCCGAAGCTCTTCTCCCTCTACCCCCCGATTTCTCCTTCCCTGTTTCTCTCTCTCTCAAGCGGTCCTTCAGATTCATGGAAATCCCTCAGGCTCAAGCGGTACAGAGCTACGCATGTGGGGCTGGTACAAGCATGCATCCCATGTTCCCCCCCCCCCCCTGCTAGCCTACGTCTGCTCCCCTGTGGGCTCCAGGATGACAATTTACAAAGCAGTCCCCTAGGGACATACTTTCATCGGGAGCTCCTAGGGCAGGTCCTTCGAGTGGGGAGGCCTCGTTTACTTTGCCAAGGTACGTGAGGGCCCTTCTGTCTCTCTCTCTTTCCAAGTCACTCATCCTCCTCTCCTCCCCATCTGCCATTTTCCGCCCTATTCCCAGCCTGCATTCTTCTCCAGCCATTCGCAGCGCGACATCTGTCATCGGCACGGACGAGTGGCTGGATGACCCGATCACGCGCCACGTCATTGGGCTGCGCCTAGTCAGCACCACCCCCACCCTGCCCTCCTCCCACTCCCGCTCACGCACTCACTCTCGCTCTAACACTCGACCTAGCACTTCCCAGGCCAAATCCTCACAGGACCCCTTGAATCCAGCGGCAGCACGGGTGGATGGAGGGAGGGGAGGGCAGGGGGGAGGAGGGGCAGGGGGGACAGAGAGAGAGAAAGCAGATGGTGCAGATCAGCCGAAAGCAAGAACAGCAAGATCAGCAGCAGAAGCGGATTCAGTGAGAGGAGCAGGTGTGTTGTCGGACAGTGAAAGGGGCCCTGGAGGACCAGCAGCAGCTACTGGGGCAGGAGAATCGGCAGGAGGTTCCTCAGGTGCTTCGGCAACAGTGACAGCAGCGACAGCAGCGAAATCAGAAGCAGAGACCTTGCAACTTCGACTCGCAAAAAGCCCACCTGAGCCAACACCTGGAGCACCACCCGAAGCACCATCTGAAACTACACCTGAAGCACGAACCAAGGGGGTAACAGACCGGCCAGCCTCCCCCTCCTCCCCCTCCACCCCCTCCTCCCCTCCCCCTCCCCCCCCACCACCCTCAGCTCCCACCCTCCTCTGGCCCCTCATAGTCCACCCCCACTCTAAGGCCTCTAACGTCCACGTGCTCGTGCTCCCATTGGTGGCGCCCTGCCACGTGGCAGCGTATGAGAGGCTGTGCTGGCAACGGAATTGTGGGGGAGGGGCGGGGTCGGCGCATGGGGGTGGCAGCTGGGGGGGAGGGGGAGGTGTTTTCGGTGCAGGTGTTTCTGGGGGAGCAACGCTCTCCTCTTTGCTTGCTGACCTGCCTGCTGTGACGGGGTGAGTGTCTTTCTTGTGATTTCTTGGGTCTTTCTTGGGTCTTTCTTGTGTCTTTCTTGTGTCGTTCTTGGGTCTTTCTTGGGTCTTTCTTGGGTCTTTCTTGTGTCTTTCTCGTGTCTTTCTTGTGTCTTTCTTGGGTCTTTCTTGGGTCTTTCTTGTGTCTTCCTGCCTGGTGTCTTTCTTGTGTCTTTCTTGGGTCTTTCTTGTGTCTTCCTGGTGTCTTTCTTGTGTCTTTCTTGTGTCTTCCTTGTGTCTTTCTTGTGTCTTCCTTGTGTCTTTCTTGTGTCTTTCTTGGGTCTTTCTTGTGTCTTTCTTGGGTCTTTCTTGTGTCTTTCTCGTGTCTTTCTTGGGTCTTCCTTGGGTCTTTCTTGTGTCTTTCTTGTGTCTTCCTGGTGTCTTTCTTGTGTCTTTCTTGTGTCTTTCTTGTGTCTTTCTTGTGTCTTTCTTGTGTCTTTCTTGTGTCTTTCTTGTGTCTTTCTTGTGTCTTTCTTGTGTCTTTCTTGTGTCTTTCTTGTGTCTTTCTCGTGTCTTTCTTGGGTCTTTCTTGGGTCTTTCTTGGGTCTTTCTTGTGTCTTTCTTGTGTCTTCCTGGTGTCTTTCTTGTGTCTTTCTTGTGTCTTTCTTGTGTCTTTCTTGTGTCTTTCTTGTGTCTTTCTTGTGTCTTTCTTGGGTCTTTCTTGTGTCTTTCTTGTGTCTTCCTGGTGTCTTCCTGGTGTCTTTCTTGTGTCTTTCTTGTGTCTTTCTTGTGTCTTTCTTGTGTCTTTCTTGTGTCTTTCTTGTGTCTTTCTTGTGTCTTCCTTGTGTCTTTCCCCAATGCCGTTCCCCATACTCCCACCCTTCAGGCCTTATCTCTCGCCCAGTGCATCGATTCCCGCATCTCCACAGACACACCGTCCAACCCCACTGCTCTGCTCCCCATTTCTCCTTTGTTCCATTCCCCCTCCCCTGTCTCCCCCCCACCCCTCAGAGCCATTTCCCTCGCGCAGAGCATCCAGGCTCTGATCTCCACAGACGCATCTACCACTTCCTCCTCCCTCCCTCGCACCTTGTCTCCTTTGTTCCATTCCCCCTTCCCTGTCTCCCCCTTCCCTGTCTCCTCCCCCACACCCCTCAGAGCCATTTCTCTCGCGCAGTGCATCGAGGCCCTCATCTCCACAGACGCAACCACCACGCCCTCTGCTACCCCTCGCACCTCCCCGCTCCTCTCCGCCCCCTCCCTCCCCTCCTCCGCCCTCCCCTCTATCTCCCTTTCCGGTGTCGTGGGCGGGGGAGGAGGTGGGGGGGGAGGGGTAGGAGGGGGAGTGGGAGGGGTAGGAGCTGGTGCGAAAGCTGGTGCTTTGGGGACTAGTACTATAGGTAGCAGCACCAGCAATGCTGCTGCTGCTGCTGCTGCTGCTGCTGCTGGGGGGGAGATGGGGGGCGGAGGAGGGGGAGGGGCAGGGGGAAAGGGGAGTGCAGCAGCAGGAGGCAGCAGTCTAGGGTTTGGGCTGCTGGGAGCCCTAGGAGCCAGTATGGGCATGTCCCGAGCCAAAACCTCCCAAACCAGCCAGATTGGTTCGGCGCCAGGCTTGGGCGGAGGCTCGGGAGGAGGGGATGGGGGGAGGCAGGGTGGGGGGGGAGGAGGGGTGGGGATGATGCTTCAGCAGCTGAAGCCAGTAGAATTGGAGGGTATAAGACTGCTCATTCAAACCTACATGCCTTTTGGTTGCCCCATTGATCTCCCCACACCTGCCACCATCACCACCCTCCGCACCCAACCGAATGCTTACACTCAGGACCTTGCTTCCCACCTCAACCCCCCTTCTTCGGGCTCCTCCACCCTCCATTCTAGCAAACCCACGAAGCAGCAGCAGCAGCAGCAGCAGCAGGCAGGAAAATCAGGTGCAGCAGAGGGGACGCTTAGAGGTCTGGGAGGGAATATAGCGGCGTCGGTAGATTCTCTAAGAGACACTTTTAGGCAGCCGGCATGGAAACCAGTGCTTTACACCGGAAAACAGAGGGTTTCTGTAGCACTAGTGGAACAAGTGAGCGTGGCTTTGTATGATAGAGAGGGGGAGGTGGCAGATGTGGTTAATGTAACCGGTAGGGTTACCATGCGGTGGGAGGTGGAGGGCCTGCCAGATGTCACGCTCTCATTGGACGTGCCGGAGGATGCTTGTGTGGAGTCACTCGTTGTGCACCCATGTGCTCAGGTGAATTCCCAGATGAAATTTCTCAGGTGATTTTTCAGGTGAGTCCTCAGGTGAGTTTCTAGAGGCTATCAGAGGGTTTCAGGAAAGGGTGGTAGCTTTCCCGCCCCTAGGTGCCTTTCTTCTCAGCTACCTATGTTGCCTTCCCAGCCCACCATGGCACCACCCATATCTTCTTTCTTCTCTCCTCCTTTCCTTTCCTCCATCTTCAACTGCCCTCCCTCCCACAGGTATAACCAACAGGCACACGCGTCATTTAGCCGTCTAGGCGCCTTTGACCTTGTCACCTTCCACTGCTGCCTGCCCACCACTCCTCTCCCCTTGTGGTTCCTCCCATTCCCTTCTCCACCGTCGACTCAAAAGCTCCCTTTCCCTTCTCCACCCCCCTCTCCCTCTCCCACATCAACCCCACCTGCAGCTCTCCAACAGGCACACTGTGTCATTCAGTCCCCCTGTAGGCGCATTCCACCTCCTCGACTACCACTGCTGCCTGCCCACCGCTCCTTTTCTCTCCCCCTCTCTCTCTCCCCGCATTCCTTCACAGCGCTCCATCAGGCACACCGTGTCATTCAGCCCCCCTGTAGGCGCATTCCACCTCCTCAACTACCACTGCTGCCTGCCCACCGCTCCTTTTCTCTCCCCCTCTCTCACTCCCCGCATTCCTTCACAGCGCTCCAACAGGCACACCGTGTCATTCAGCCCCCCTGTAGGCGCATTCCACCTCCTCAACTACCACTGCTGCCTGCCTGCCCACCACGCCTTTCTCTTTTGCTTGCCTCCTTGTCTCCCTGGCTCGCCAATTCACCCCCAACAGCTCTCCAACAGGCATACCGTCTCCTTCTGCCCCCCCTTAGGTGCATTTGACCTCGTCATCTACCACTGCTGCCTGCCCACCACGCTTTTTCCTCCTCTCCTCCCTGTCCCCATTCGCGCCCCCCCCCCCTCTTTTGCCCAACAGCTCTCCAAGAAGCACACGGTCTCATTCTGTCCCCCCTTAGGCGCATTTGACCTCGTCACCTACCACTGCTGCCTGCCCACCTCGCCTGAACAACTGCAGCAGAAACTGCAGCAGCAGCAGCAGCAGCAGCAGCCGCAGCAGCAGCAGCAGCAGCAGCAGCAGCAGCAGAGAGGCGCTCCCCCTCTCTCTCCCACGACCCCCTCCGCTCCCCCCTCCACCCCCTCCTCCTTCCTCACCTCCTCCTTCGTCTCCCCGAAACCCCCCGCGGCACCCACCTCTCTCGCCCGTCTCCTAGCCTCTATGAAGACCCCCCCTGTTGTCGGCTTTTATCAAAACCAGTTTGTTTCTCCCACCGAGTCTCAGTTCTTACTTAAGCTCCGAATAATGGATGGTTACAAGCCCCCCTGTAACATGGAACAGTGCACGTTACACATGCCGTTCCCACGCCGCCGCATAAAGTCGATTTCCGCCGCGCCCCCTTCTCTAGGAGTTATTTCTCACTCCGAACACTTAGTTGATTGGCGGATCTTTGCACGTGGCTACTCGGGAAAGACCCTGGAAGTTTCCTTCTCTGGGTCGGTGTTTTTCCATCCAACAGGGGAGGGGGGAGAGGGCGGAGGAGGGGAGGAGGAGCGGAGGGGGGGTGTGGGGGAGGGAGTGGAGGAGGATGAGGGAGAGGGAGTGGGAGAAGAAGGGGTTGTGAGGGGAGTGAGGGGGTCTGGATGGAATGACCCGTTCTGTTGGGATGCGTTCGATTATGCCATGGTGAGAAGTCCATCACTTGTACATAAGTGAGACCCCACGGTTCTCCATACATGACTTATGTATCATTTGTATTATATTATATCTACCACTCTTGTCCTCTCTTTTACATGGTATGGTATGGTTTTGTATATGCTATAGGATGGAAAGGTATGGTATGGTATGGTATGGTATAGTATAATATAGTGTGGTGTGGTGTGGTGTGGTGTGGTATGGTGTGATGTGACATGGCATGAGGTGGTCTGGTGTGATGTTTTGTGATTTTTTACGCTTGGTGTGATGTCAAATCATGGCCTGTTGCGTCGTCATATCATGTCTCTCCCTCTCTCCGTCTCTCTGCTCCACAGGTGACCTTCAAGATGCATGGAGGCACAGTGTCAGGCATCTCTGTCAGTCCTAGCAAGGTGCCACACCCATGGTTCCAGCTGAAGTGTCTATTCTCCTTCCTTGTCCCCTTCGTTGTTTCTCTCTCGTCGTTGCACACCCTCCCTTGTCTTATATCTCTTCCAACACCAGTGGTTGCAGTCTTGTTCTTAGTTTTGAGGCGCCTCAAAACTAGATGCAATTGCACACCTTCCCTGGTCTTATCTCTCCAACACCAGTGGTTGCAGTCCTGTTCTTACCTCACCCCCCCATACATGCACCTGCTCACCTGCTCCTGACCTTCTGGCATCATCGTCTGTTTTTTTCTTTTTTGTCTAAGGCAGATCAGCATCTTCCCTCCGCCAACCAAGGCACCTCCTCTTGAAATTACACATCAGGTGAGTGAGAGTGCTGCTCAGGTGAGTGAGAGTGCTACTCAGGTGAAGTGTGACTGGGATGGAGAGTGAGTGAGTGAGAGTGCTGCTCGGTTGAGGGCTGAGAGGAATATTGCCGCACATCTCCACACCTAGACAGTATTTCCAGAGTGAAGGCCTCACCTTATCACTGCTGGTGGTTTTACACTGCTGTTCTCTGCTCTGCTCTCTGTCTTCGTCATCTATTCATCCAAACCCATTGCCATGTTGCTTGCTCTCCAAAGTTTGTTCCACCACTGCACTGTGTTTCCGTTTTCGTGCAACGAACGGGACTGTGATCCTCTTCGCCTTTCCGTGCTCCTAGTGACGATCTGCAGATCCTTGTGAATTCTCAATTTATCTGCAGATATTTTTTTTAGAATTCTCAAAGCTCTATCGCGACGAATGGGACTGATAAAAGGTTCTGCCTTTTTTTTATGCGCCTAAAAAATGAGTGTGATAAAAGGTTCTGCCCCTTTCCGTGATCCCGATGACGATCTCCAGGTCATAGCGGGGGGGGACTACATTCTCTGGAACAGTCTGGGAAGGCGCCCTCCCACCCCACGACAGTCCCTTTCACCCAGATTGGTTTCCCTTGTATGTGTGTGGCGCTTCAAACCCTTGCTTCCTTGCAGGTCGTAGCGGGGGACTACATTCTCTGGAACAGTCTGGGAAGGCGCCCTCCCACCACGGCCCAGCAGCTGCTGCGAAACGCCTCTGCCGCATGAGTCATGACTGATATACAACTGGCCTCACACTGAATCCCCAACTTTTGAAATGCATCTGCTCTGCCCTGTTCTGCTCTGCTCTGCCCTGCTCTGGTCTGCTCTCTCACGCACTGGCGTGGCGTCTGTTTTCCCACCACTCCGGCTCAGCCGCTGCTGCTAAACGCGTCTGCTGCTGTGTGGTGCACTATGTTGACTGAAAGGTGGGGATATTGCATTGCCTCCCAAGGAATTGGCTGGGTCTGGGCATGTGCCCCCCCTCCTACTAGAGTTCACAAGCAGCACCTGCTACCATGCAACAGCTGTATCAGTATTTTTTTTAAAGGTGCTTTGAGAAGCAGCAATCAACTGACTGTATAAGCATTGTTTTTTAGGTGCCTAAAAAATCAGCAACACTAACACAAAATGAAGGAGCTGTATGAGGGCAAATTCCTACAGCCTCGCATCAGACTAACCTCGCGCTAGACGCGAGGTGCCCTGTATTACCTGCCTCGCGTCAGATCATGCAGTACACGCTTGCGAATTTTATGGTGCAAAAAGTGCATGCGCCCGAAAATAATTTCGTCATCACCAATGGCAAATCTGTCAACTAATACATATGCTGTATGTAGAAGTTATAGGCTAGCCTACGTGTGTGCTTCTAGTGAGTACAACCCCAACAGGTACATGTTCTAGGTTTCTCACACTAGTCCACTTATTCTCTCTTTGTAACAAAATCGCCACAGGGATCAAGCTGCCCAGGTTGGAACCACTGCGCGGTCGCGTCTCGCCCGCGCGGGAAAGATAAGTAAACCAACCAGCAGAAAGCGGCGAACTACAGCGTGAATTTGCTAACCGGGAAACTCACGGCGAAAGTTTTGTCGCATCAGCGAATCAACAAATGGTATCTGCGAAAGCGCAATACTGTATCATTTCACACTTGAATTTTCTGCAAGTTGCATGGTGCTGGTTTGAGTGAACAGTCCTTTGCAAGTGAAACGTACGCACTCTTAGAGTAGCAGAATGTGGCTAGAAAACAGGGTACAAGGTGGTTTTGACAAACTATGTTGTACTCGCTAAGGCATGCCCCTATCTAGTCTATAGCAACATATACACATATGTTTGACACACCCCCTAGAGTGGACAAGGGGCAGTGTCTGGCAAGAGACAAGCAACTCAGGGCAGCACTACTAGTCCAACCTCTGAGACTAGGGTCCGAAGACCAGTCAACAAGAAAACAAACTCGACAACAGCAAGCCAGGGCGGCACTACTAGTCCGGCCACTGGAACAGCAGCCACAAGGCCAGTCAAGAAGAAATATATTATGAGAAGTACACAATCAAGGTCCTAGCAAGTGAGGAGCTACTAGAACTAGACCAAGCTGCAAACAATGCTGATGATGATCTTTGGGCTAAAGCGCCTTAGTAAAGATATCAGTTGTGTTGGCACCAGAGGCCAAGTGTACTACGCGGGCCTGGCGGCGCTGCTGTAGCTCGCGAAGGAGGAAGCACCGCAGCTGGATGTGCTTCGCTCTGCCCTCCAGTCGAGGCTCCTGACACAGGAGGATCATGGCCCTGTTGTTAGCATACAGGAACGGGGCAGAGCTGGGCCGCTCACCTAAGTCAGTGAGCAAGAACGTCATCCAGCGGAGCTCGTGTGCCGCCATGGCACCGGCGTAGATCTCAGCCTCACAACTAGACTTGGCAACAGACGAGGAGCGAGTGGACCTCCACGAGATAGCACCTGAACCAAGGCTGAAGCAGTAGCCCTGGGAGGACCTGAGTGTCTCAGCGTCGTCTGCCCACGAAGCATCCATGTGCCCAGTAAGGACCACTAGCCTGCGTCCTCCCAGCACGAGTCCCATGCCCGATGTACTTGCTAGATAATGCAAAACCCTCTTAGCTGCCTACCAGTGCTGTGGTCGGTGTCTGCCTGTGGCCACAAAGCGCGCTAGGATGCTGAGAGGGTATGCGACAACTGGACGAGTGCAAGTCACTAGGTACCACTAGGCTCACCACCAGCTCTATACAAGGACCACTAGGCTCTACAGACTCAGGTACTGGAGCAGAGAGCCTGTGGTCTACTGGCAGAGGCGTGTGCTGTAAAGAGGAGAACTGAAGACGGAACCTTTCAAGGACCTGGCGCACCAAGTGTGACTGTGTAAGAGTGATGGTGCGCGCTGCTCTGTTCCTAGAGATCTGCAGGCGGTAGCAGTGCAGCTCTCCTAGGTCAGTGCAGGTGTGTCTCCTCAGCAGCTCAGCCTTTACAGAGGCCAGTGCGCCTCTGTCTGCATTAGCAAAGACCAGGTTGTCTACGTAGACAAGGATGCAGAACGGGGTCTGGCCAGCACGAACGAAGAGCGAGTGGTCTGCAGACGACGAGAAGAACTGGAGGTGAGCTAGCATAGCACGCAGCGTGTCGTGCCATTCACGAGTCGCCGGTGGAGCCACTGGGTCCCAGGAGGGAAGGTACCGGTGAAGCCCTGTGGACGGCGCAGGTAGACCTACTCGTGTAGGCTGCCCTGAAGGAAAGCTGTATAGAAGTCGAGGCAGTATAGCTCGTAGTCACGCTGTGCTGTTACGTGTAGTAGTGCCCGAAGAGTAGTCCTCTTCGGCGTCCGGGTGAAAGTCTAAAAGAAGTCCACACCCTCGCGCTGATTGAAGCATCTAGCCACGTAGCGCGCCTTGAACACATGTGGCTCTCCAGGGGGGTGCTTCACCTTGAAGAGCCATCGGCCATCGACTACGTTCCCCCCAGGTGGGGGAACTGCGTCAACGTAGGTCCCGGTGGATCTCCAAGATGCCATCTCCTTCTCCAGAGGAGACGGCGGGGGGGAAGGCGCAGGCGGGTAGTCAAGGGAGGGAAGGCCAAGCAGGCGAAGGGCGGACACCGGCGGCGAATGCTGCTGCGGCTCCACGCCGACAATAGAATCTCCAGCTGTACCACGGCTACCTCCGGAATGCTCCACTCCAGCACCCCCAGAACGAGAACCCTCTCCAGCACCGGTTCCATCCCCAGGACCGCCGAGACATGCCATCATAGGAACCCCAGGACTAGCACCCTCCTCAACGCCCGCACCCCCAAAGTCCACGGACGGCTGCTGCTGCTGCGGCTACGATGACAGCTGCGGCTGCTGCTGCGGCGGCGACGGCGGCGTGTGCTGCGATGGTGGAGGAGGAGACACCGGGAGAGAAACAGGCGGCAAAAACTGACGGCAGAAACAGCGAACTCCTCGTCCAGGACAACTGACGGAAGGGGAGTGACGCGAGACACACCAGATGGAGCAGGGCGGAGAGGAAGGGGAGCAAGGGCTACCGGGGGAGTGGGAACCAGAAGCATGGGAGGGGAAATTGGGAGAACTCGGTTGGGAAAGCGGTGGTAAAAGAAGTCAGACTTGTCGAAAGTGACGTTACGGAAGTGAAAGAAGCGCTAAGACGGCGGGTGGTAAAAGTGTCTGTCAAATGAGTCAAGGGCGGAAACCGAGACAGACACAGGGGATAATGCGGGCGGTGAGCTTGTCCGTGCCCGAGGCATGGACGTGGGTGAGGCACCCCCAGACGTGGAACGCGGACGTATCACCAGGGAACCCAGTCCAAAGAAGGGTCGACGAAACCTGTGGCCGCTAGGAGTGCGGCCACAAGTTCAGCTGGTGAGCAGCATAGCAAACGACGAACAACCACAGAAAATGGGGTGCACCGGCATGGATCATGGAGGTACGAGCCACCTCCATGACCAAGCCGATGCGTCGCTCAGCGACCCCATTATGCTGCGGGGAGTCCGGTAGGGTGTACGACTGGGTGATGCCCTCTGCACGACAGAACTGTCCAAGCCGACCGGAGGCAAACTCGCTGCCGCGGTCGGAGTGGAGACATGGTATAGGGAGACCGCGGTGGAGGCGTGCAGCTATGACCCATGGGATAAGAACGTCAGGCATGTCGGCCTTCCACTTCACGGGAAACACCGTGGTGTAGCGCGTGTAGTCGTCGACGAGGACGAGAAAGTAGCGCTCTTGAGGCGGCCCAGGGACGGGGGCTGGACCCCAGACGTCCAGGTGCAGGGTCCGGAGTGGCGCGGTGGTAGGGTGAAGCGAGGAGGAATGAGGGGCATGGCGCAGCCGGCCCTCGACGCAAGGAGTGCACAGCGGCGCAGGCGAGGGAGGGAGGGCAGGTAGCGACGCAGGGAGACCTAGGACGAGACAGTACTGAGACATGTGACGTAGACGCGAGAGTGCGGGGTGACCTAGGCGGTGGTGCCACAGAAGTGACGGGTGAGTGAGCGACCGACACGAGCAAGCCGCAGCGACCTCGGTTGACACAGGAGCCGGGGAGGACGTGCCCACCTAGGGGGAAGAAGTGTCAAGCGTAAACAGGCCAGACATTGGGTCCCGGGGGAACGTCGCAAGGGGGGCACCTGAGGCGGCCTCGGTAGAGACAATGTACCGCTCGTGGCTTGGGAACGTAGTGGTGACGCCGAGGTCCTGAAGACAGCCAACATCAACTAGGTTCCTGGAGAACAAGGGGATGTGCAGGCCTGTAAGAGAACCCGAGGGAACCGCTGGACAGGGAAGTCAGGACCAAAGGAGGGGTCAGCATTCGCGACAGCGGCAGGTGCGGCAAGTGGCGAGAGCGCCGTATGGTCGCGGCAGAAGCAGGCAGATGCGCCAGAGTCAAGCGTAATGGAGAGAGAAGCGGTAGCTGTGGCCGGTGGAGGAGCAAGCGTGGAGCCAAGACTAAAGAAGGCACAAAGTCCTACACCTGACGCAGCGGGGGAGTGTGGACTACACACAGGAGGCACACCTAAACTAGGCAACACAAGGTAATAAGGTCCGGACACATTAGAAACATCAGCATGCAAGGAATGCAGAGCAGAACAAATCTGATCCATGTCTAACTTAAAGACAGACACACCGTCGCGCAGCAGAGTGGGCCTGTCAGTAAGGTCCGGCGCCGGGCTGAAGCGGCGACGAAAGAGGTCATCAAGGCGGCGGAAGCAGCAGGTGGTAGGGTGCGGGCGACCACACACAGTGCCGCGGAGGGGGTCGGTCTGGAGCTGGTATTGGCAACACGTAGTGCCGGAGCTGCCTCCCGACACCGAGCTGCGCGCGCTGCCAACGCGGCCACCACCACCAGGGGCACCGGGCCTTTCCGGCAGGAGGCGGCCCCACGACTGCTGCTGCTGCGGCTGCTGAGGCTGCTGCTGCTCCGGGGCACCAGCCCCAGTCCCCTCGTCGGAACCATTGTCCCCGCCCCTACCTCCACCACCCCCACCATCCCTACCTCCACCACGCCCCCACTTGGGGCGGCAGCCCTGACGCGGGCACGACTGCGCGGACACCGCAGCGGTGGTCTCAGCGGCAGGGGCTGTCTCCGCGACAGCGGCAGACACGTCAACATAAGTGCATTGGGAGGGCGCACATCCCTGGAAGATAGGGGCAGCTGTAGTACCGCTCGACTGAGCGATAGTGCGCTGGCGAGTCTCTATCTCAAACAGGGCGGTGAGAAAGGCGGTAAAGGTGAAGTCATCTGGGTGCTGACTAAGGAAGTGGTCGCGGGCAATGGCTAAGCGGTCCGGAAGGCGCATAGCAATGAGGTACAGGGTAGCGCAGAATGGTGGGGGGAAGGCAGTGAGCTGGGCGGCAGTGCTAGCGGCACGGTAGCTAGCCTCTAGTGCACGGAGGTGAGTGGCTAGGTCATTTACAGTGGGGAAAGCGGCAAGATCAGGGAACAGCATATAGAGTATCAGGCGGCCAGCAGAGGCGGAGGCGGGCGTGGAGTAGCGCGCAACGACTGAATCTAAGAAATCCTTGGCATTCGCGGCAGAAGTGAAGCATGGACGCTCAGACAGGGGAAGAGCATGACTAATGGCTAGCTGCGCTACGGCATCGCGGGAATCCCAGACAGCGCGAGCAAGCGTAGCAGCAGAAAAGGCCTCACGCTGAGCAGTGGTGGGGTCATCAGGGAGGGGGTCAGGCGTGGGGGGGCAGGGAAGCAAGCCATCAACATGCATAGCCAGGGGGTGCCCATCCTGGCGGTGACCTGTGAGGTGACGGCGTAGATCGACAAGCCAGGCGGCGAAGTCGATCGCGTGCCCCTCTGCGTCCAGGCGGAGTACAGAGTCCGCCATCGTGCGACCTCAGCGACACAGCTCCACGGCGGCACGGCGGCACAGCGACACAGCGGCGCAGCTACACTGCGGCACATCAGCGCGGCGGCAGAACTCCCCGGCATGAAGACCGAGCGGAAGGTCGAGTGGGGCTCACAGGGCTAGGGGCATGTAGAAGGACCGCCTGGGGCTCACGGGGCCAGCAGAGCGCGATGGGCCGGGAGAGTGCGAGGAAGGCCGCGAGACGCGATGGGCCGGCGGGGCTCGAAAGAGGTGGCAGGGCGCTAAGGGTCTGCGGGGTGCTAGGGCCAGGCGGGGCGCGGAAGGGACCAGCAGGGCTCGAGGGGCCGGCGAGGCGCTAAGGGATCGGCGAGTGCGCGAGGGGTCGGCAGGGCGCTAAGGGCCGGCGGGGTGCTAGGGCCAGGCGGGGCGCAGGAGGGACCAGCGGGGCGCGAGGGCCGGGCGGAGCGCGAGGGGCCGGCGGGGCGCGTAAGGGACCAGCGGGGCACGAGGGGCCGGCGGGGTGCTAAGGGACCAGCAGGCGCGCGAGGGGTCGGCGGGGTGCTAAGGGCCGGCGGGGCGCTAGGGCCAGGCGGGGCGCAGGAGGGACCAGCGGGGCGCGAGGGCTGGGCGGGGCGCAAGGGGCGCTAAGGGACCAGCGGGCGCGCGAGGGGTCTGCGGGGCGCTAAGGGCCGGCGGGGCGCTAGGGCCGGCGGGGCGCTAGGGCCAGGCGGGGTGCGTAAGGGACTAGCGGGGCGCGCTTACGGGGCTGGCGGGACGCTAATGACTAGCAGGGCGCGCTAAGGCCAGCGGGGCGCGCTAAAGGAACACCGGGGCGCTAGGCTAGGGCGAGGGCAGAAGCAGGTGGGCAGACCTAACCTAATCTGATACCATCTTAGAGTAGCAGAATGAGGCTAGAAAACAGGGTACCGTACATGGTGGTTTTTACCTAAAATGATGTACTTGCTAAGGCATGCCCCTATCTAGTCTACAGCAACATATACGGTACAAATATGTTTGACATGCATGTGGCATCGCAAACAAGTTTTGCGAAGGTTGGCACGTGAGGCCAAGACTGACATGAGGAAGGTGAGTCTCAGCAGCGCTTCGGGCATAATGACGAGTCTGCGTGAGGTTAGTCTGACGCGAGGCTGTAGGAATTTGCCCTGAGTGTTGCATGTTGTGGAGCAGTCTAGGGGGCCTAATCGACCGGTATGCTCCCCCTTCCACCAGGCTCAGAGCCACTACTGCAAAACCCATCTGTGGTAGCATCAGATCAGATTCATGTGCTCGTACAATCTCATAAGCGTATTGTACAGTTGGTTCACATCATCCTTGTTTTCATACACCTCTATTTTTGAGTCGAGTCAATAGCAGACTGTTACTTCACATCATCATCATCATCATATTCATACACCTTGACAACCGAATTGAACGACACTTGCCTTCTCATCTTCCTAGTCCTTTCTTCTCGTGCCTCACTTGCACTCCCACACACTGCACCACTACCCATCCCACCCCCTCCCTTGCTCTCTCCGCCCCTCTCTCCTGCCCCCTCTTCAACCCCCTCTCCATCCCTCAAGCCCAGAACCCCAGTTACAAACCTCTCCTTTTCCCGTTCCCACTCCCTCTCCCTCGCCTCCTCCCTCTTCCTCTCCCACGCTTGCTCCCTCCTCCCCTCCCCTTCCGATTCTGTCCCCTCTGCACCTTGTAACTCCAACTGAATTGCCTTCAAAAGGGGATGAGAAATTGGAATATCCCTGCTCCCCCCTCTCTCCCCCCAACTTAGTGACTGCTTTAAGCCACCCCTTCGGCCACCTCCCACCTCACCCTCCCCGTCCCTTCGGTTTCCTCCCACCCCACCCTCCCCGTTTCTTCGGCTTCCAGTAGAGCAACCGTCCTCAGTACTGGCGTCTCCTATATAAGCAGGTGTAGAGTATTGGACTCCTCCCGAGCTCGTATAAGCTGCTTCGTTCGACTTAACATTGCTTGTAAAACCCCACACGCTGCCGCTGCTGCTGTTGTTACCTGCCATGACTGGACCACCATTGCTGCTGGACCCTTGATGCTTTCGCGAACCAGCATCAGCATCAGCAGTAACAGTCGCATCAGAAGCAGAAGTAGCAGGAAGAGGAGGGGGAACAACAGGAGCACAGTCAGCAGGGTTGTCACGGCTGTGAGAGAGAGGAGCCGTGTGAAAAGATACAGCAGTTAGGTGCCTCGAGTCAGTGTGAGTGGGTGTGAGTGCGAGTGAGTGCGAGTGAGAGGGTGTGAGTGCGAGTGAGTGTGAGTGAGAGGGTGTGAGTGCGAGTGAGTGTGAGTGAGAGGGTGTGAGTGCGAGTGAGTGTGAGTGGGAGGGTGTGAGTGCGAGTGAGTGTGAGTGAATCGGTGCAGAGGCAGTCCTAGACAGTTGGGAAGCCGAAAGTGGTGGTAGCAACACTCGTCTCCTCTCTCCCTCCTCCTCCCCGCCCCTCCCTTCACCTCCCCGCGCTTCCCGCTCCCTCCTAAACGCCCCCCTCTTATTCCCTCTCTGCTCTCCCCCCTTCCGCCGCCCTTGCTCCTCACCTTTAGCTTCCTCCTCGCTCCAATCCCCACTCGACCCCCTCCCTCGTGCCTGGTAGTACCTTGCCGTACCTGGGCTTGAGCTTCGGGCCCACGATTCCAAGCCTCTTACCGGACCTAGGAGCGTGTGTGGGGAGAACAGCGAATGGTGCTGCTGCTGCCGTTTCTGTGAGTTAGGCTCGGCACTAGGCTCGGCATCAGCGGGTCCGGAATTAGGCCTGGATTTATGCCTAGTTTTAGGTCCGGGAGTCAGGTGCTCTCCCCCTCTAGAGTTTGAAGACAGCAACGCGGTTGACAGCTTCGGAAGGGATAAGTTCGGTTTGGCCCAGGAGGTTCGGCCGAACCTGCGATACCTGAAGCTGCTTCGGGAGCTGCCGGTTTCACTGGTGTATCCCCCATCAGCGTCTCCCTGCTCCTCCTCCTCCTCACCTCTTACTATCCCTCCTTCTCCTCTTTCTCCTTCTCCTCCCCCTCCTCTTACCCCTCCTCCTCCTCCTCCTATTCCCCCTCCTCCTACTCTTCCTCCAGATCCATCCCACCTGCCCTCCCCATCGCTAGAGCACACGATATGATCACTTCCATCCGCCATAGTCACATCACCAACACTGCCCATGCTGTTATAGCTGCTGCTGCGGCCGTAGAAGCCCCTACCACCTTCAGTACCTGCCATGCTTCCAATGCTGCTGATGCGCCCGTGAAAGCCCCTACCAGGGCTAGTACCGCCTTCCGCCCGTGTACTCGAAACATCGCAACCATCGAGGCTATCTGCTACACTAGAATCGCTACAGGTGCTGCCTATGCTCCTGCACCTCGCTCTATCCCTCTCTCCCTTCACCTCTCTCTCCCTGACCTTCTCCCTCTCCCTCTGCCGTTCTCTCTCCCGCTCCCTCTCCTGCTCTCTTTCCTCCTCTCTCAAGCTCCCCCTTTCTCTATCTCTCTGTAGGGATCTCCTGCTTGAATTTCCCCCATATAGAGTGATCTCGTTCCAGTCAAAAGTCTTCGTTCTGCTGCTTTCGTCCACACCACTATCATGCACGGAATCCCAAGTAGCGTTACCACTAATACTGCTCCCAACCTCACTATCTCCCCCCAAACTTCCAAACCTCCCACTTCTGCACTCCCTCTCACTCTCACTCAACCCCACTCCCTCACTCCCCCTCTCTCTCCCCATCCCCAAGAAACTTCCCTCCTCTCTCACCCCCCCTCTCTCATCCACCCACGCTGGCAACTGCAGCACCTCACTCCGAACCTGCCCCCGTAGGTTCGGCGGGCTCATCCCATACCCGGAGCTGCTGTAGGTTCGGGGAAGGCTGATTGTAGCCGAGGAAACGGAGGAGGTGGGGGAAGGAAGGGAGCACGGGAGAGAGGGGATGTGTGGAAAGGATATGACCGATGCTTTTTCCTGCTCGCCCGTGTCCGGCCTTCCTATCAATAGCAGCAAATCTCCCGATCCGGCCTTTCTTAGCTCTCTGCCCCCCTCGCTTTGCAATCCCATCTTCTCTTGCTCCGCCTTTCTCTGTGAGGTGGGATGGCAGGGATTCGCCCCGTCGCAAGCAACGGCCGTGACTACTGAAGAGGTGGATGCTACCGATGCAACTGTCACTGCTGAGGCCGGCCGTGCCTCCACACCCCTGCAGCTGCTGCTGCTGCTCGGCTTCCCATGGCAAACCACAGCTGTGACTACCGAAGAGGTTGTTGCTAGTGATGCTTCTGAGTCTGCTGAGACCTGCACCTCGTTACCGTCAAGCATCCGATTGTCACATTCCTCCCTCCCAGTCTCTGCTCCTGCTGCTGCTGCTTCGGCTCCCCCCCCTGCCACCACCGCTGCAGCAGCAGCAGCGGCCTCTATTCCCGCAGCCAGCCTTTGCGAGCATGCCAGGATCTGCTGCGTCTGGGATACAACGCACGCGCCACCAGCACGAGCTGAAGGCACGCGAGCAGCATCATTCTCAGAGGTGATACGCACCCGGTCCCAGCCAACGGGACCAGCAGACACCCAAGGCACCGAAGGCGCAAGCACATCATTTACCGAGGTAATAAGCACCTGGTCCCAGGCGGCCAGGGCGAAGCTCCCATGGGTATCCACCGCCCCCACAAGAGCCTGGTCCCAGGCGTCGCTCAGGTTGGTGCGAGGCGAGGCGAGGTCGAGCGTGTCTGCTATCGAGGCGTCTCCAAACGAGGATGATGAGAGGGACGCCCAGTGGTTGCTCCTCCGTCTCCACCTACCGCCACCAGGTACCCCTACTCTAGGAGTTTCGGCTGTTAGGGGTCTTGGAGTGCTGCTGGAGCTGGTTTCACCAGCCCCGTGTGCTGCCACTGCTGCTGCTGCTGCAAAGGCTGGTACCGCTCTTGCTCTTGCTGCTGCTGCTGCTGTTGGTGGTGGTGTTGCTGCTGCTGCGCGTCTTGGTGCTGCTGCTGCAGCAGCTGATGCAGCTGATGCAGCTGTCCCAACGCCAATCTCACTCCCCTCACCCAAGCGCCCACCAAGAGGCCCGTACATCCAACCCCACCGCCGCTGCACAGTCCGAGCCAGCCCATCAGGCTTGGAGGATTCCCGAACCTGGATGCCAAGTTCGGCAGGACGGTCCGTGCCTCCGGCCCCGTTCCAGAGAGCGCCGAGCCTGTTCAAGGGCGCCCGGAGATCCCCGAGCATGGAATGGTTTAGGCTGCTATGGCGAAAGAGAGGGAGCCCTCGCCTGTGCTCTGTTGCTATAACATTGTTACCACCTGTTACGGTGTTACCACTAGTAGTGCCTGCTGCTGCTACTGCAGTAGCATCAGTGAGGGCACTTGTAGCAGCGATAGTGGTACATGTTGTAACTGTGTTACAAGCCATAAGTGTGTTATGTGCTGTTAGTGCGTCTGGTATCCACACCCCTCCAATCGTCATATTGCCGAAATCCCACGACCCAGACTTGCGACGAACCTTCATCCCACCACCAGCACCAGCACCAGCACCAGCACCAGCACCAGCACCAGCACCAGCAGCAGCAGCAGCAGCAGCAGCAGCAACTGATGTGCCATATGGTGCTTTCGACGTGTCGGCCAATACCCTGCTGCCGGGTGGCATGCAAGGTGATTGGTCCGAAGGGCAAGGGGAGTCGAATGTGGTGCAGCATCGGCGGACTGAAAGCCCTTCTGCTGCTGCAACTGCTACCCCCAAACCTCCTGCTGTTCCCGAACCTCCCGCTGCTCCCGAACCTCCTGCTGCTCCCAAACCTCCTGCTACCCCCGGATCTCCTGCTGTTTCCAGAGCACCTGTGCTGGTTCGAACCGTACCAGACCGCACTGCATTGCGCTCTAACAACCCGTACGTCCTGCTACTGTGTCCCTCCTCCTCCCCCTGCTGCCCCTCCTCTCCCCTTCCCCTCTCACTGCCCCCCTCCCCCTCCTGCTCCCCCTCCTCCTCTTCCCCTGCCCCACCACCCCTCCTTGCACAACCATGGGTCCTGACTTACAAGCCCTCAGCTCCCCTCTCCCCTCCGCTCGTCTCCGCCCTGCCTCTAGATCAGACCGACACACACGCAGCTCCGGCCTTCCCTTAACTGTCGCGCCTTGCTGCCTCTTCAACCCTGGTAGTTTCCCCCTCGACAGCGCCTCTGCTCTTCCCCCTTTCCCCTCTTTCCGCCCCTCTCCCCAATCTGGCCTCTCCTCCGAGGTGCCTCGGGTAGGGCCTGGAAGCGCAGTAGGCTCCTCTGATGATCCTCCATAAGAGCTGACCCGAGACTCCCAATACGAGCCGCCATATGAAGCTGCGTTTGAAGCAAACGAGCCGAAGCGCAAGCCATTTCCCACACCACCACCACCACCACCACCACCACCACTACCACAATTAGCATCACTAGCAGCTTCAGCAGCATAAGAGCGGCTACTGCTGCCAGCGAACGAGCCCCCTCTGCTGGACTCCTCCCACGCCCGGTCAAACCTCCTCTCAGACCTCGACGTTGTCGGGTCACTGAACGGAACAAAGGGGAGGCTGAGAGGGGGAGAAGCAGCAGCAGCAGTACCACCACCACCACTACCACCACTCGCACTCCCACTCACACTCACACTCCCCCCTCCCCCATGCCAGCTTCCCAAGCTCCCCACACTGAACCCCCTCCCATCTCCTTTACAAGCCGTCTCGTTATAGCGCCTGTCCGCGTACTCGTTATAGTGCTTCTCGGTGTACTTGCGCCATTTCTCCTGGAGAACGCGTGCTGAGAGGACGAGGTTGGAGGGGGTCCATGGGGAGGGCGGCGGGCTGTCGTCGGCTAGAAGCTGCCAGGAAGCGTGCGCCTGCGCAATGATTGCTAGCGCCACGTCAGCAGCGCCCGCCCGCTGGTTGAGCCCAAATTCGTTCTCTTCGTCGTCTGTCACGGGGTGATGTGGAGTGGAAAGAAAATGGACAGTTAGCAAGATAAGGGACAGTTAGCATGGAAGAACAACTTAGAAGCAGATGGGGAAAACGAGGCGAGGGAAGAGAAGGAGGGCCTCTGATTGCGCCCAAGCTCGTTCGCTCCGTCGTCTGTAGCGGGGTGACGTGGAGAGTGGAAGACACGGGTCAGTTAGTCCAAGGGAGGGAATGGAAGGGGTAACGGAAGGGGAGAATGAGCCAAGGGAGGGAAAAGGAAGAGGACCTTCTAGTTGCACCCGAGTCCGTTCTCTTCGTCGTCTGTAGAAGGGGTGATTTTAGTCAGTAACAAGGGGGAAGTCCGTACGTACCCCGTTCTAAACACCTGCACCACGCTTTTACCCCACCTGGATCGACACAGTCGCAGAATCGCAGCCATTCGCGAATGTCGTCCAGCAGCCCCGGAAACAGCGCGTGCACGTCTGCCACGTCACCGATCTCATCCGCCACGTCATCCTCCCCGCCCGCACCGCTACCGCTACCGCTAGCCGCCGGCGCCGCGGGAACGGCGAGAAGCTTCCAGGAAAGGGAACTTTTGCCGTGGACGACGGCAAACGCGCCGACCACCTTCACCTGACAGACATCCCCCGTCCGCAAGTCGCGCGAGGAGAAACTATTGGAGAGATTAATCGACGATGGCAGTCCCAGCGACGCGTATCCGGCTCGCGACGCGTCGCGGAGGTCTAGGAGCAGGACGTCGATCGGGCCGCCTAAGTACGCGAGCCCGCCATAGTCGGGGTTGGGCTGCGCGGGATCCGCGTAGGTCTGCGGGAGGAACCCCACGCTGAAGCGCGTCGTATTCTCCGCGAAATGCGCCGGCTTATAACGGGTACCAGGATTATAACGCGCATTCGGATTAGTGTCGTGGCGTCCCGATTCTACGACCGCCTTCGGGAAAGTACTACTAGAGTCTAGACCGCCAGTAGCGGGGAGTTGGGAGATTCTTAGCGGATTAAAGTCCTCGTCGTCAGCCACCTCGTACTTAATCCAGGAGCCTTTCGGGGTCGTGCAGACGAAATTAAGGAGCCCGTCGCGGCTGTGCAGGGGCACATGGTGCCACCAGGAGATTAATCTCAAGTCGCGGTCCACCGCCAGCTGGCGCCACGTCAGCGTGCCGACGTGGCCAATCTCGATCGACGTGGACTGCAGGATTTTGTCGTGGAGCGGAGTCGGCGGGGTGGGAGTAAGAGGGGAACGCAAGCCGAAGCCGCCGCCACCCGTAGGAGTATTGGCATCTCCTCCTAAAATCTGGTCCCATGCGGAAGTTACCGAGTCGCCATAACCTGAGGAGTTAAAGCCGGTAGTGCTGGTTGTTACGGTGGTAGTGGTGCTAGGTGTAGGGATGACTCCGCTCTCTCTTAACGTCTCTAAATAAGACTGCTCGGCTCCGCTACAAGTAGTACTACTAGTAGCCCGGGGGCCGCCGTTGTCCACGTCAGCATTCTTAATCTCCCATAGTCCGTGGCTGGGGAAGGTGTCGTCCTCCTCGTCCCCGCCGCAGCTAATCTGCAGCTTCCGCGTTCGCATCGTCGTACCCGCTATAGTACGCCTCGACTCTAGACTGTCCGAAATAGCGCTGTGCACGGCGAAGGTTGGAGAAGTTGGGTACGCGGCGAGTGCCGGCCGAAGGTGTTACATTGCTTACAAATGCTACCGCTTCCAGCGACAAGGTTCTCGAGCTGACGATTACTACTAGACGAACGTGTTACCCTTCGCTGATACTACTTTCCTCGATCGCCGACGGTTTGCCAGTGGCGACGGTCCCATGACTAGCGTCCTAGGCGGAAGCGAGAGACACGGTAAGCTTCTACACCTACGTCGCACACTACTAACATAAATGGCACAGTGAAGGGAGCCCACGCTAGCTCGGACCCAAACTTCCTCGTAGGCCGGCATAGAAATGAACTATGGAAAGCGTGTGAAGTTGTAAGATCTCGTTCTGAAGTTCAACCATCAGCCAAACTTGGCCCAGCAGTGTAGCTTGCGCACGCAGTAAGCCTAATTACCCTTACCCGAATACCCAGAGGGCTGGTTTCCTTAGATAGCCAATATGACGGGGAAGCGGTCTCGAATTAAAACGTCCATTCAAATGGTATGTTACGACTAAAATTTGATGGCGAATCGGAGAACCCGAAACTGTATTGGGTTCGGCACGGACAATTTCAGCACCTGTAAAATCACGGAAATACGCGCTATACAGACCTATTGCCCAGAAAATAAAGGCACTCTTGGGCCAACTTCGGCTGATGGCCCAACTTCAAAACGGACCCTAGGATGGTCTGCAGCACATCGGTGCCATGCGTGTTGAAGGTCTGCAGTACCAACCAATAGCTCGTTAGTACCCCCCGCCATTCCCCTGTTGGCATATCGTCAAACGGGCACTGAACCAATGGAGGTGCGCATTTTCAGAACTCGGTTTCATTGACGGAAAAAACTTCGTGTCAACTACTGTTTCAGCCAACATCCAGGTGGATTCGGGTCCCGTCAAGGCTGCGCCTCTAAGAACGCTCCGTCAAGCTCATTCCGTCAATGTTTGTCCACGTCTGTCGTAAACAGAAGTGCTCCGTCGCGTCGCGCTACTTTGAGCCAGATGTGCAGGCAAACGGACACTGCCCGGAAGGTTGGTGGTTGGTGGTTTGGTTTGGACTCTGCCTGCTGAAACTGCGGAGGCTCTGTTGAGGGGCTGATCTCGCTGAGTAACAGCTGGCCAAAGGACGTCACAACAACGCGAACAAGCTCACCTCTACACGAACAGCAAGTTACTGTAAATATACTTCAATATATAAACAGCTTCATCTACTATAACTACTCTAGAAGCCGACCCGCTACTTAACAAGCCCTTTTAGCTCGGTGGTTAGTGACTGAGTTATGACATGCTATCAGAGCTGGGTGAATCGGATTCAATCCCCAGTGCCAGCGCTGCAGAGGTGCTTGTGTCTTCCGTCTATCCTAGCAAGGGGGGGGGGGGGGGGGGGGGGGTCAAGAGACACTCGGGGGTTGCCCTTGATCATCGGGGAAGGGTTACAGTGTCAGCATATAATTTGTATTTTTATAGGCTAGCTAGGTGCATGCTCATATAGAGTACAACCCCTTAGGTTATATCCCCTTGTACCACCTCATTCTAGTCAATTCACGGAGTCTAGTTTTGAGGCGCCTCAAGACAGGGGGGGAGATGCGAACGGGCAACGGAGTCGTTTTGAGGCGCCTCAAGACAGGGGGGGAGATGCGAACGGGCAACGGAGTCTAGTTTTGAGGCGCCTCAAGACAGGGGGGGAGATGCGAACGGGCAACGGAGTCTAGTTTTGAGGCGCCTCAAGACAGGGGGGGAGATGCGAACGGGCAACGGAGTCTAGTTTTGAGGCGCCTCAAGACAGGGGGGAAGATGCGAACGGGCAACGGAGTCTAGTTTTGAGGCGCCTCAAGACAGGGGGGGAGATGCGAACGGGCAACGGAGTCTAGTTTTGAGGCGCCTAAGATGGTATCAAATTAGGTTAGGTCCACCCACCCGCTTCCGCCCTAGCCCCTAGCGCCCCGCTGCCCCCTTAGCGCCTCGCTGGACCCTTAGCGCTCTGCTGGCCCCTTAGCGCCTTGCTAGCCCCGTACACCCCGCTGGCCCTGTTCGCGCCCCGCTAGCCCTGTCGAGCCCCGCTAGCCCCATGCGCCCCGCTAGCCCCGTACGCCCCGTTGGCCCCGTCGAGCCCCGCTAGCCCCGTACGCCTCGCTGACCCCGTCGAGCCGCGCTAGCCCTGTGCGCCCCGCTGGCCCCGCACACCCCGCTGGCCCCGTTCGCGCCCCGCTGGCCCCGTCGAGCCCCGCTAGCCCCGTGCGCCCCGCTTGCCCCGTCAAGCCGCACTAGCCCAGTGCGCCCTGCTGGCCCCGTATGCCCCGCTGGCCCCGTTCGCGCCCCGCTGGCCCCGTCGAACCCAGCTAGCCCCGTGCGCCCCTCTGGCCCGTTCGCGTCCCGCTGGCCCCTTTCGCGCCTTGTTGGCCCCGTCGAGCCCCGCTCGCCCTGTGCGCCTAGCTGGTCCCTTACACCCCACTGCCATTCGCGCCCCGCTAGCCCCGTGCGCCACGCTAGCCCTAGCCCGCCGGCCCTAGCTCGCCGGCCTCACCTTGCTGACTCTCGCTCGTAGGCCCTAACTTGCCATCCTTCGCTCGCTCGCCGCCCCTACCGCAGCCGGCCCCCGTTCCTGCCGGCCCCAGCACCGCCGTGCCGCAGTGTCGATGTGCCGCTGTGCCGCCGTGTCGCGGTGCTGCCGTGCCGCCTTGTCTTTGTGGCGCCGTCCTACTGTGGAGCCATACCGCCGTGCCACCGGGCTGCAGTGCCGCAGTGTCGCTGTGTGCCGTGCCGCCGTGTCCCTGTGCTGCCGTGCCGCCGTGTCGCCGTGCGCCGTGCCTCCGTGGCGCTGTCCTGACGTGGTGCCGTCCTGCCGTGTAGATGAGGCCACGTGATGGCGGATGCTGTGCTCCGCCCGGACGCGGAGGGGCAGGCGATCGACTTCAATGCATGGCTTGTCGACCTTCGCCGTCACCTGAAAGGTTAGTGCCAGGACGATTACTCCCTGGATGTTCATGTTGATGGTTTGCTTCCCCGCCCCCCCGCGCCTGGTGCCCTCCCTGACGCCCCCACCACTACTGAGCAAGAGGCATTTTCTGCTGCTGCGCTTGCTCGCGTTGTCTGGGAGTCGCGCGATGCCGTAGCGCAACTTGCCATTAGTCACGCCCTCCCCCTGTCTGAGCGTCCTCATTTTACTACTGTAGCGAACACCAAGGAATTCTTAGATGCAATCACTGCGCGCTACTCTATGCCCGTCTCAGCCTCAGCTAGCTGCCTGATCCTCCCCATGCTGTTCCCTGATCTTGTGGCTTTTCCCACTGTCGCTCACCTAGCCACTCACCTCCGAGCACTTGAGACTAGCTACCGCGCCGCTAGCTCTGAGGCCCAGCTCACTGTCTTCCCTTCGCCACTTTGCGCTACTCTTTACCTCATCGCCACATGCCTCCCAGACCGCCTAGCCACTACCCGCGACCACTTCCTTAGTCAACACCCAGGTGACCTCACCCTTACCGCCTTTGTCACTGCCTTGTCTGAGATAGAGACCCGCCAGCGCACAATCCTCAGTCTAGCGGTACTTCAGCGATCCCTATCTTTCAGGGTTGTGCTCCCTCCCACTGTACTTACTCTGACGTCTCTGCTGCTGTCGCTGAGACAGCCCCTGCTGCTGAGACCGCTGCTGCGACCTTAGCGCAGCTGCATTAGGGTAGGGGCCGCCGCCACAAGGGGGGGGTGGCGGGGGAAAGGATGGTGGGGGTGGGGGCGGGGACGGTGGTTCCGATGAGGGGACCGGGTCTGGTTCCCCAGAGCAGCAGCAGGAGAAGCAACCTCAGTAGCAGTAGCAGCCACAGCAGCAACAGTCGCAGCAATCGCAACAGCAGCAGCAGCAGTAGGGCCGCCTCCCACCGAGGTGGCCCGGTGCCTCTGCTGGTGGTGGCTGCGGTGGCGGCCCTCGCAGCTCGGCGCCGGGTGGCAGCTTTGGCGATGTGGGTTGCCAGTTCTAGCTCCAGACCGGCCCCTTCCGCGGCACTGTGTGTGGTCGTACTAGTGACACTGCCGCCCGTTGCTTCCGCCGCCTCGACGATCTCTTCCATCTTTGCTTCGGCCCTGTGCCAGACCTTCCCGACTGGCCTGGTTTGGTGCGTCACCGTGTGCCTGTGTTTGAGATGGATATGGATTAGCTTTGCTCCGCCTTGCATGTCATGTATGCTGATGCCTCTTCTGTGACCGGACCTTATTACCCTGTGTTGCGTAGTATAGGTGTGCCTCCTGTGTGTAGTCTAGGCTCCTCTACTACCTCAGACGTAGGACCTTTTGCCTTGTGTAGCCTAGGCTCCACGCTAGCCCCTCCGCCCGCTACCGCTTCGCTCTTGTTCACGCTTGACTCTGGTGCATTTACCTGCTTCTTCCGCGACCACACTGCGCTCAAGCCGCTTGCCATCCCTGCCGCTGTCGCGCTTGCTGAACCCTCCTCCGGTCCGGTAGTTGCCTGTAGCTCCAATACCCTTCCGTGTCCGGCATTTTCCCCGAGCTCCCTTACAGGCCTGCACATCCCCTCGTTCTCCATGAACCTAGTTGGTGTTGGCTGTCTTCAGGACGTTGGCGTCACCACTACGTTCTCTAGCCACGAGCGCTACACGATCTGTACCGAGGCTGCCACAGGTGCCCCCCTCACCACGTTCCCCTGGGACCCGGTGTCTGGCCTGTTAACGCTCGACACTGAGTCCCCCCTGGTGCCCGCGTCTGCCCAGATCGCTGCGGCTTGTTCGTATCGCTCGCTCACTCACCCGTCGCTTTTGTGGCACCACTGCCAAGGTCACTCGGCACTCCCGCGTCTGCGTTACATGTCTTAGCACGCTCTTGTCCTATGTTTCCCTACGTCACTCCCTGCCCTCCCTCCCTCGCCTGCGCCGCCGTGCATGCCCTTTGTCGAGGGCCGGCTGCGTTATGCTCCTCACTCCTCCTCGCTTCGCCTGGCCACCGCGCCACTCCAGACCCTGCACCTAGACGTCTGGGGCCCAGCCCCCGTCCCTGGGCAGCATTGAGGAGGGTGCTAGTCCTGGGGTTCCTGTCGTGGCTCGTCTCGGCGGTCCTAGGAGTAGCACCAGTGTTGGAGAGGGTTCTCGTTTTGGGGGTTATTGTGAGAGTACGACCCCGTTACACCAATTTCCCCTTTCCATATTTCCTTTCTATTTCATTCCTCTTTTTATCCTGATTCCTTTGGTCTTTATCTCATCTCATTTGGTTTCCTATTCCTCCTTTTCCATTATCCTTTGGTTTATCCTGTTATTATGATTATATCACCGACCAGGCTAGGGATGTACTGGCGCGCTATATCTAG